TGTCAGTGGGGGAAATATTTGGCCCCCATCTTTGGGTTGTCTTAAAGGAATAGCCCCCATTTTTGGAAAACAGTGGGGGGAATGGGCCCCCATCTTTGGGTATCAGGGGAGGAATATTCCCCCATCTTTGGTACAGGGGGGAGGAATAGTGCCCTACCTTTGGGTTTTATTTGGGAATAGTGCCCCTTTCTTTGGGTGTCAGGGGGGAATAGTGCCCCCCCCTTTGGGTTTTACGGGGGGAATAGTGTCCATCATTGTTTTATTTGGGAGGAAAAAGTACCTCCCATAAATTGGTTCCCCCTAGGGGGAATACTGCACCATCATTAGTATCTTTGGGTCAATGGGGCCCTAATTGTTAAAATCAGTGAGAGGTTTTTAATTTCCCATTGCTGTTTTGTGAGAGGAATGGTACCAATCGGGGGGTTTTCATTGGGAAGGGAAAAAAATGCCCCATTTTTTGGTGTAAAGGAGAGAAAGGGTTTTCCCATTTTTTGATGTCTTTGGGAAAAGAATGGTGCCCCCAACATAAAAGGTCGCCGGGGAATAATCCATGGATTTCCCTCTACTTGACACAAAAAAAGGGGTGCCCAAATGACGGGTCCATGGACAGGTCACATCACGGCCTTTTTTTTCCTCTTTTTTTTTACACACCCAATCAAATCCATTCTCTACTTTTGGTGAGGTTAAAATGTGCAACAGAAGGTTGTAATTTAGGGGTCCCCCTCTTCCCCACCATTCGGCAGTTGTTTCAATATTGATTTCCTTGTTTTTTTTCTTCCATATGCTTCCCATTCACACCTAGTAAGCATATATGGAAGCAGGTTGCTATGTACCAAGGTCTATAATACCAAAAATACTGGCAAGATTCGTGTTTCCACCAGGAAATGTACCTCAACTTAATTGAACATTATGAGAGACATCACATAGTCATTTAAAATATAATGAAAGCTTTATTACTGAGATTAAAATAACAACAAAATGCAATATTAAAATACAAGACGGGTTGAACCCCCAAGAATGGAAAAGGGGGGGGGGAGAGAAATTCCCCTTACAGCAAATTCCCTCTCTGGATCTTGGAATAAAAGCAAATAACTTGATTGAAAAAACATATTATCACTAACCCCCTTTTATTATTCAAATTTCAGGTACTTATACAGCGCCATCAATTTACGCAGCACTTTACATATATATTGTACAATTCACATCAGTCCCTAACCCTCAAGGGGCGTACAATCTAAGGTCCCTAACCCCAAGGGGCGTACAATCTAAGTCCCTAACCCTCAGGGGCGTACAATCTAAGGTCCCTAACCCTCAAGGGGCGTACATCTAGGTCCCTAACCCTCAAGGGGCGTACAATCCTAAGGTCCCTAAACCCTCATAAGGGTGCCACAATCTAAGGTCCCTAACCCTCAAAGGGGGTACAATCTAAGGTCCCTAACCCTAAGGGGGCGTGACAATCTAAGGTCCCTAACCCTCAAGGGCGTACAACAATCTAAGGTCCGCCTAACCCTCACAGGGGCGTTACAGTCTAAGATCCCTAACCCTAAACCCTCAAGGGGCGTACAATCTAAGGTCCCTAACCCTCAAGGGGCGTACATGTCTAAGGTCCCTAACCCTCAATGGGCGTACAATTCTAAGGTCCCTAACCCTCAAGGGGCGTACAGTCTAAGGTCCCTAAACCCTCAAGGGGCGTACAATCTAAGGTCCCTAACCCTCAAGAGGGCGTACAGATCTAAGGTCCCTAACCCCTCAAGGGGCGTACAATCTAAGGTCCCTAACCCTCAGGTGCGTACAATCTAAGGTCCCTAACCCTCAAGGGGCGTACAATCTAAGGTCCCTAACCCTCAAGGGGGCTTACAATCTAAGGTCCCTAACTCACATTCATATACAAGCCATAAAGGCATTTGTTTGGCTTTGGTTGGAGTAGAGACGGTTGACTTTGTTTGGGTTTTATTGAACCATGGAGGGAATTTCACATCGTGTTTCCTGTGCTGGTGACCCACTCATGAAGTAATCTCCACAAAGAGGATGGACATATCAAAAAAACCAAACACAGGTCTCTACCACTATTTATTTCTTTCAGGTGTACACATTATATATATATATATTGTACATTCACATTCAGTCCCTAACCCTCAAGGGGTGTACAATCTAAGGTCCCTAACTCCACATTCATACATACACATACCAGGGACAATTTGGACAGGAACCAATTAACCTACCAGCCTGTCCCTCTGGGAGGAACCAGAGTAAATCCAGAGGAAACCACGCAGACACAGGGAGAACATGCAAACTCCAGGCAGGTGGTGTTTGGCTGGGATTCAAACCAACATACCCTCTACTGGTGACTCAACGACTCTATGCTTACGGATACTAACTCTCGCCAAGAAGTAGTTACTTCTATTCAAGAATATTTTCAGTCAAACACAACTCCTGATATCTCTCCGGCCATCTTGTGGGTAACCCATAAGGCGGTCCTGCGAGGCCGCCTTATATCCATGGCTTCTTCTAGAAATAGAGAACAGTGGAAAAAAATTCAGAAACTTACCCGAGAATTAGAAGCACATTATGGAGCTCATGTTGGCAATCCATCTCTCCTTAACAAAACGATGTTATCGCAAAAGCGTCTAGAATTGAATACTTTACTTTACCAGAAAACTGAAAAAGCTCTACGTTGGTCGAAGGCCTCCTTTTTATTACATAGTAACTCAGCATCTACTATGTTCGCACGGAAATTAAACCATTCTATATGACCCCCACATATCTACAAGTTACATACTAAATCCAGCAGTATCTCCTCTCTCTGGGTATTTTTTGAAAATTTTTATTTCACTCTATTAGCTTCCCTGCAACCAACCCCGCTCCCCCAAAAGGCTCATGGCTTGATTCTATACCCCACCCTGCTCTTACAGCCCTCTCAGATATCCTCTCTCAATGCCCCATGCGCTTTGGAGGAAATAGCCCGTGCGATTAGCGCACTAAAAACTTCCACAGCACTGGGCCCGATGGGTTTACTGCCAGTTATTATAAACATTTTACCCTACATTAGCTCCTTTTTGATGACATTATTCAATGATGTTTTGCATGGAGGCAGGTTTCCTGAGGAGATGCTGCTGGCTAACAGGTCTCTATTACCTAAACCACTAAAAGACCATCATCTACCTGAAAATTATAGACAAATCTCAGTAATGAATAATGGTCTGAAAATATTCAGCCGCATTCTGGCAGATAGGTTGGCCCCTATTGTCTCCTCACTGGTCTCTCCTGACCAATTGGGATTTATCCTAGACAGACTTATGCAGGCCACAGATGGGTCGAAAATTGGCTGATTTTTCGGCCCCCCAAAAAACGGTCCATTTTCGCACTGTTAATGGGTTAATTGGTCGTCCGTTTTTTTTCTGGATTTTGGCACAGAAAAAGAAAAAGAAGCAGAAGAAGAAAAGAAAAGAAGAAAAGAAGAAGAAAAAAAGAAGAAGAAGAAGAAGAAGAAGAAGAAGAAGAAGAAAAGAAGAAGAAGAAGAAGAAGAAGAAGAAGAAAAAAAGAAGAAGAAGAAGAAGAGTAGAAGAAGAAGAATTCCAGTCCGCTATTACATTTGACATGAAAAAGTCTTGCGGTTGCAACAATGTATCCATTTGTATCCGAATAAAAACATCTGTATCCGAAATGGATACAAATAGATACAATGTTGTAACCACTATACTTTTTAATGTCAAATATAATAGCGGAGCTCTCTGCAGGGCACAGAAGTAATTAAATGCCGGCCGTAGACGGGACGAAAAGCGGCCAATTTTTTTTTTACCGTTGGTGGTAACGTCGGCCTATTGAACGACCGATTTTTTGTTTTTTTGTTTAAAAAAAGGCCGGTTTTTGATCCATCTATGGCCTGCATTATCAAGGACAACATTCCTCTCACATTAAATGTTATTCAGGATGTCAATTTGCATTCTAAAGAAGCTTTGTTGCTGAGCCTGGACATTAACAAGGCCTTTGATAGTGTCCTCTGGCCTATCTGTTTTCATTACTGCAGAAGATGGGCTTTAGTCCTGTCTGGTGTACATGCTTTATACGACTCCCCCAAAACAAGAATAAGAACTTCCAGGCTGCAACTCTGATTTTTTTTACACTGGGCAGGGGCGCCCGTCAGGATTGTCCCTCTTTTGCCCTTAATTATTTTCGCTAGCATTGGAACCCTTGGCAAATTGCAATAAGATCAAATTCGTAAATTTCTGGTTACCCATTATTGCTTTCCATTTCTGCTGATGATGTTATCCTTTTCCTTACTAAACCGTTAATTCATTGCCTAATTTATTTACTGAAACTTTGCTATAGTATCAGGTAGTTATTCCTATCAATGTTCCCAATTCCCTGAGTGCATCTCTCCGTTAATTCTTTTCCATTTCGTTGGGCAGATCGGATTTCCTACCTAGGTATTATGCAGGCATAGACGGGGAGAAAAACAGCAGATTTTTCTTTTAAAAAAACGAAAAATTTCAGCGGCCTACCATCAATGGTAACAAAAAAAAAAATCGGCCGTTTTCATCCTTCTACAGCCGGCAAAATTGTCCCTGCAGAAGCTCGCTAAAATTTCTTTTCTTTGACAGTTTTCCTTGACATTTACAGAGGTTGCAACAATGTATCTATTTGTTCCATTTAGGATACAGATTTTTTATTCAGAAACAAATTGTTGCAACCACTATGAATGTCAAGGAACTGTCAAAGAACTGACAAAGAAATAGCAGATCTCTGCAGGGACACTTTTGCCGTACTGGAATTCCTCTTATTTTTTCTCCTTCTTCTTCTTTTCCTTCTTCATCATATCCTCTTCTTCTTCTTCTTCATCATCATCCTCATTTCTTCTTCATCATCATCATCCTCCTGCTTCTTCTTCTTCTTCTTCATCATCCTCTTCTTCTGTCATCATCCTCCTCTCCTTCTTCTTCTTCATCATCATCCTCTTCTTCTTCTTCTACTTCTTTTTCCTCTTCTTCATCACCATCCTCTTCTTCGTCTTCCTCTTCTTCATCATCATCCTCTTCTTCTTCTTCATCATCATCCTCTTCTTTTTCTTCATCATCATCATCCTCTTCTTCTTCTTCTTCATCATCATCCTTTTCTTCTTCTTCATCATCATCATCATCATCATCCTCTTCTTCTTCTTCATCATCATCATCCTCTTCTTTTTCATCTCATCCTCTTCTTCTTCTTCATCATCATCCTACTTCTTCTTCTTCTTTTTTTCTTCTTTTTGTCTTCCTCTTGCAGGTCACTGCTCATGTGCAGATTTTTTATCGGTAAAAAATCGGCCGATTTGCCCATCATTGCCGTGAAAATCGGCCGATCGGCAAAATCGGCCGATTTTTTTTTTCCAACTTTACCGATAAAAAAAAAAACGGCCAAAATACCAAAAAACGGCCGAACAATAAATAGCCCAAACGATCCGAAAAATCGGCCAATTTTATTTTCGGCCGAAAAATCGGCCGATTTTCGACCCATCTATGGCCTGCATAAATCTCACTCCCAGATAATCAAAATTATTTGCTGCTAATTACCGATCATGTGTGTCACGCCTCTCTACTCTATTGAAGATCTAGCATGGTTACCCTATCTCATTCTTGGGTAGAGTAACGGCAGTCAAAATGAATATCTTGCCTAAATTACTTTATCTATTTAGAGCACTCCCAATCCCTGTCTCGAAAAACATTCCTAGATCGCTTTCAACGGATAATTAACAATTTTATCTGGAGTAACAAACGTCCTCGTTTTACTTCATTGCTTCTGTCAGGGCTCCAGGTATGACCAGAGGTGCGTGGACAGACACAGGGAAACACAGACTTCAGGTATGGCATGTAAAACAATATAATTTATTAAAGGCAACACAAACATAAACGCAGTGCAACAAACCAAACCCAAAACTAACACAAATACGGACAACCAGGTGCAATAAACCCTAAACTGATATATATATGTATAAATATGGAGCACAACGTAGTTAGGTGGGCCGGGTCGGTAGCTAATGGGCAGACAAGGTACAAGAAGTAGGCAGAAGATTGGTCAGGAGTAGCCGAGGTCGGTGCAGGCAGCGTTCAAGCAGAGTCAGGATCAAGCAAAGTCAGGATCAGGCAGAAAGCAGACAGGATGCAGGTACAGGGGCTCATGGGAACAATACACCAAGGCATGGACTGCAGGCCTAGCCATTCCTTAAATACACCCCCTGCAATCAGCCTCAGGTGATGGCTTGATTGCAGGAGTGAGCTTCTGGCTGCTGAGAGCATCCACTGGCCAGCCCTGGTACTGCAGCCCACACGGCAGGTGAGTCCTACCACCAGTGGTGAATCCATTCCTGACAGCTTCTATAACAGTCGCAACGGGCGGGTGGCCTCGGTCTTCCCAATTTCTGGCTTTACTACCTGTTGGTCCGTTTCGCACAATTATCACAATGGGTGACTATTTATTTTCAGATCCCGTGGATCAGATTTGAATCTCAGTCTACACGTCCGTTCTATCTACCAGGCATATTGTGGTCGAAAATTCCTCCTCGCTCATTATTGATCCATAATTCCATTGTTGCCCAATCATTGATGCTTTGGTCCTGATAAAAAAAAAAATTCAATCTGGTTTCCTCTGTCTCCCCAGGTGCATCATTTTTTGGCGACCTGAATTTTTTATTACGGCTTTTTCCTCTCCACAGGCATTCCATTGGTGTACGATAGATCCTTTATCAGGTTATCTGACTTTCAAAGAGGAAGATCTTATATCACCTTTGAGATGCTACGTATACTTTTTGATATCCCGCTTCAGGAATATTATCGATATCGACAGATTAGACATTTTTTTAATTCACATTTTGGCCTTATACCTTCATCTCCGATTTTGTTTTTCAAACGCATTAGTCGTGACTCTCCCAGGGGCAGGGATCTTATTTCAGATTTGTATCACCAATTTTTTGGTTAGTTCCTTTCCCACACCCCCTCTATATAGACAAAAATGGGAAGCGGGATAGTGGTATCACCTTTTCAGATGAGGATTGGGATCACATGGTGGATAACATACGTAAGAGCTCTCAAGGTATTAACCAGTTGGTGCTATACCCCATCTAGACTACATGTCCTGTATCCAGGGATGTCCCACCTATACTTCTGGGGCTGTGGCCTTGCCGGTACTCTGGTACATACATTTTGGGCTTGCCCAAGCCTCTCCTTGGTGTGGCGCAGGATCTCTGCGTTAGCTTCTGCACTGGCGGGTGCCCCGGTGCATCTGACTATGCAGTCCTGCCTATTAGGAGCTCGTATCTCGGGGGGTTCAAACTGAGGTTATGAGGCTACTCCATACCATTTGTATATCCACCCTATGGGTTACCGCCCTACACTGGAAATCTCTCATGGTACCATTGGCCTCTGTGCTGCATAGAGTTGATGATGTGATGCTCATAGAAATAATTCATTATACTTTACTGGACAAGATGCACATATTTGATAGAAAATGGGAAATTTGGAGAACTCATAGACATTTACTATATGACTAAGGAACACCCATGTTTGGATTGATTGACTTACTCTGTTAATAGATGTATAACTCTGCCTACATCTCTATTTACATTGCTCGTGTACTTAAACTCTTTTCACTCCTCTTTTCTTTTCTTTTTCTTTACTCTACATGATTGTACCTTTTTAAAATGTACACTTCAGTTGTGCCTTGTTTCTGTTTTACACAACGTTTGAAGCTGTAATGTCATTTTACAGTTTATTTCTTGAACAATAAAACTGTAAACAAAAAAAAAAAGAAAAAACATATTATCAATATATAAGGTACTACAGGTGTGCTTGTCCAATTCCAAAGTCTAACGCATTTCACTTATTTATTGCTTTTTTTAGGATCATAAAGCTGAGAGGGTGTCACTAAATACATGAATGAACAATTTAACAAATATACACAATATGTTGATATATTACATAGAAATGTTATGCTCCCACAGGCAAGGCCACACAGTTCAGCACATATTTACCAGTCTTGGGGTGGACACAGGGGTACTCAGGACACACCAAGACCCCCCCAAAAGGAGGACAGGAGGCAGTCCCCAAAATTACACAGGCACCTTAAAACAAGCGATATTCAATCTATTATCATCTTAAAATAAAAGGATATACAGTTGCAAGAAAAAGTCTGTGAACCCCTTGGGATTACGTGGAGTTTTGCATGAATTGGGCATAAAATGTGCTCCGAACGTCATCTAAGTCACAACAATAGAAGAACACAGTCTGCTGAACATAATACTACACAAATATTAGATGTTGCCATGGTTTAATTGCACATAACATGTAAACATTCACAGTGCAGGGAGGAAAAAGTATGTGAACCTTTGGACTTAATAACTGATTGACCCTCCTTTGGCAGCAATAACCTCAACCAAACGTTTCCTGTAGTTGCAGATCAGACCTGCACAATGATCTGGAGTAATTTTGGACCACTCCTCTTCACAAAACTGTTTCAGTGTAGCAATATTCTTGGGATGTCTGGTGTGAATCGCTCTCTTAAGGTCATGCCACAGCATTTCAATCGGGTTGAGGTCAGGACCCTGACTGGGCCACTCCAGAAGGCGTATTCTGTACTCTTGCAGCCATTGTTTTGTTGAATTACTTGTATGCTTTGGGTCATTGTCCTGTTGCATCACCCATCCTCTGCGGAGCTTCAGTTGGCGGACAGATGGTCGTACGTTTTCCTGCAAAATGTCTTGATAAACTCTGGAATTCATTTTCCCATCAATGACAACAATCCGTCCAGGCCCTGAGGCAGCAAAGCAGCCCCAAACCATAATGCTCCCTCCGCCATGTTTCACAGTGGGGATGAGGTTTTGATGTTGGTGTGCTGTGCCTTTTTTTCCCCCACACATAGTGTTGTGTGTTCTTCCCAAACAACTCAATCTTGGTTTCATCTGTCCACAGTATATTTTGCCAGTAGTGCTGTGGAACATCCAGGTGCTCTTTTGCAAACTTCAAACGTGCTGCAATCCTCTTTTTGGACAGCAATGGCTTCCTCCGTGGTGTCCTCCCATGTACTCCATTCTTGTTTAATGTTTTCCTTATTGTAGGTGTGTCAACAAAAATGTTAGCATGTGCCAGAGATTTCTGTAGGTCTTTAGGTGACACTCTGGGATTCTTCTTTACCTCATGCAGCATTCTGCTCTGTGCTCTTGCAGTCATTTTTACAGGACGACCGCGCCTAGGGAGAGTAGCAACAGTGCTAAACTTTCTCCATTTGTAGACAGTCTGTCTTACCATGGACACATGAACATCAAGGCTTTTGGAGATACTTTTGAAACCCTTTCCAGCTTCATGCAAGTCAACAATTCTTGATGGTAGGTCTTCTGAGAGCTCTTTTCTGAGAGGCATGGTTCACATCACACAGTGCTTCTTGAAACCAGTAAACCCAAAACAGGTGTGTGTTTTTTAAGGGCAAGACAGCTGTCAGCAACACATCCAATATCATCACATTGATTGGAGTCAAGGTTGGCTCACTCCTGGCTCCAATTAGCTCTGGGAGAAGTCATTAAGCTAGGGCCCTTCACATACTTTTTTCCTCCTTGCACTGTGAATGTTTACATGTTATGTGCAATTAAACCATGGCAACATCTAATGTTTGTGTAGTATTATGTTCAGCAGACTGTGTTCTTCTATTGTTGTGACTTAGATGACATTCAGAGCACATTTTATGCTCAATTCATGCAAAACTCCAAGTAATCCCAAGGGGTTCACATACTTTTTCTTGCAACTGTATGTATGGTAGTATCTCAATCTTTCAAATACTTAAAAAAATGGTATAAACGTGATGAATGGCAGCCTTTATACCCCCTGGTGCTTTTGACAGGTGCTACCAAGTGAATGGAGCCTCTGTGCAAAACAGCTTGTAAAACACTCTCTAAAAGCCTCTGACTCAGTATTGCCATCCAGTCACCATCCTTGCCATGCCCCTGATGATGTCATAATGATGAAACATGTACAGAGGAGTTTCATGGAGAGAGAGATTGTTTTTACAGTGAGTTGCTTGCTTCTACTGTTCTCCTCATGGTGTGGGTTAGCTGTACGTCTGACTGAGATCTGGGGGAGGTGGTGGCTTAGTACTTTGATGCACCAGCTATTCTGACATACAGATGTGAGTGCTACACTATATTGCCAATAGTATTGGGACACCCCTCCAAATCATTGGATTCGGGTGTTCCAATCACCTCCATGGCCACAGGTGTATACAATCAAGACCCTAGACATGCAGACGGCTTCTACAAACATTGGTGAAAGAATGGGTCACTCTCAGGAGCTCAGTGACTCCAAGCGTGGTCCCGTGATAGGTGGCCACCTGTGCAATAAGTCCATCCGTGACATTTCCTGGCTACTAAATATTCCACGCTCAACTGTTAGTGGGATTATAACAAAGTGGAAT